TGAAAATTAAAGATGATCATGTATATCCGCATACTAGTACAGTGCCTGGCACATAATAAACACTCAAAAATCTAAGTTATGATAGCAATACTGACAAATTATTTCTATGGAGCAGTATACTTCATAGAGGAAAAACTGTTCCATGGCCACAAACCACATTACAACCACATAATAAGTTGTTGCCTCTGATCACAAGGGAGATAGTACATTTATATTAGAGAGAACTATCTACTCTACTGAACACACAAATACACATAAAACTTACTAACATTTGTACAATAGGAGTAGTGTAATTTTACACATCATATGCATAAAGTAGGAGTATCTATCTTACTGACAGTGATTCAGTACAGGTATAAGTACCTTTACATAAAAATATGTTATTTCCGTCACTAGAAATGAATTTTCTAACCTAAAGCTGCCTTTTTCTCTTACTGCTAGCTAACCTTTCAGCATAAGGGTTACTTTATTCCACCTAATATACACTCTATCTAAAAATAATGTCCACATATTTGTGACATCCAAATCTGGCATGACTTCAGAGATAAATAAATCACTTAACTGTGAAAAATTAAAGCAATTTAAATAGCACTGCTTTTCCTGATATAAAAATCCCAATACCAGACTACTTCAGTCAGTAACCAGCCCCACTAACATCCAGTTAACTCTGGATAAGGTCAACAATATCCCCAGCACTGGTATAGAGAACAGATACCATTCATATCTTTGAGATGATTAAAACATTCATCTGAATATAATACTGATATGTGAAGCAGAAAAAACAAACCCCTGATTTTATTAAAGACACAATATCCTAATGATAAAGAAATGCAATATAAACTATTCTTTAAAAATCATGTAAGGGGGGGCAGGTGGAGGCTGGCAATGGGAGAAAAAGGGGGAGACTTCTGTAATACTCTCAACAATAAAGACACAAAATAAATAAGTAATAGGAGGAAAAAGAAAAAAAAAAACCTCCATGTTGTCTTCTGTAATTTCTTCATGAATACTTAATCTTTAAACGTTCCAAGAAAATAGGTTGCTGCCAAGTTTTGTGAACCATAAAAAGAAATCAATTTTAACACAATTTGATGTGACATAAATTGAGGTGTAGTATTCCTCTACATACCTGTATGATTGGTATCTTGTGCACATTTATTAATAACAATGTCAAAGGAAAAAAAATAAATATTTAATCAAATATCTATCAAATCTTTGCCCCTGGGCCAAATGCCATAAGCAGTAAGCACCTAGATGTTTTTAGAAGCAACTATTTTCAACAACACAATTGTACTTTTATCCTAGATTATGTAGTACTATTGAGTGACTATAAACTTTACTCCATTAAGAGGTTTTAAATCAAAAAAGCAATTTTAAGTTATCTATCTACTTTGATGGAGGAAAAATTATGGCAAGTGTAATTAAAAATATTTGATATGCATGGCTTTTCAACAGATGTGCTATCATAATTATTTTTATGGTGTGCATATAGTAGTATGAAAGTTAGCTTTCCTACCTTGAGTACACACTTTCTGGAAGACAGAAGGAGGACAATGTAATCTGTGGCATGTTGAATGTATAGAGAAGCTAGACAGCTAACTTAAAAGTGGACCCAGATAAATTATAACATATAAAGAATTAATAGTCACTCACCCATGTGAAGGCCTAAGCCATGATATCATACTGAAGTGTTTTTAAAACCACCCATTATGCTCACTGAAACACAACTTTTAAATAATTTGACACATACTTAATTCTTTTTCCTTCAAACTTTTATTCCTAAACCATCCTTTTCCCCTCCCCCAGGCAATCAGTCTTATTAGTTTCTTGAATATTCTTAGTTATTTTTCTTTCTAAACTCTTTAGAGGTTAAGTGAAACTAATGATGATGGGCTTTAGGCTGGAGAACATTTTCTCTGACAAAGCCATTTATTCCTTTACATCTACCTCTCAAACCCAGAAGAACAGTGGGTGGGACTAGCCAGATACTCTTTTAGGAGATTTACTGAGGTTTTAATTCTACATTCCTAAAACAGAGTGGAACTTTTTGCTGTCATTTCACACGTGCGTTCTCCTCCACTCTCAAATCAGAACATTCATTCTCCTTTGAAGAAATATAACTTTTCCTTTAAATAGGTGACGGGCAACTTCTCAATTTGTTCAGGTACCTAAGTAAGTTTTTAAAAAAGTAAACAACAAACAAAACCCAGAACTTTAAAAAAGATGCAGAATATCTGAAGCCTTAGGCCATCCTTTTCACTTCATTCTCCCTGGTATGTTACCTGAGTATTTGCAAAAGGATGGCAAAAGTGAAACAGTCTCTACAGAGGCTTTACTGACCAAAGGTGAGGTACGTTCAAGTTGCTTGAGGAAAGGGGAAAAGAGAAAAACTTCATGGGCGCCTTTAACACTTTGATGGAAGCTCGAAATTAGAAACTCCAAAATATCTAACTATAGGCAAAGTTTAAAGAGTGTGTGGGTTGGGTACAACTAGTGAAAAGGTTAGCCAGCAGGCAAGCAGGGAAACACCCGAGGGCTGATGGTGGGGAGGAAAGTTTTAAATATCTACCAGAGAGCCTAGTGATCTTTAGCCTGAGTCCTCCGCCCCAGGCTTTGCTCTAGTCCCCTACTGAATGTTCCCAATTTCATGCATATATCATTGGTAATAAAGCAGGAAAGCAAGCAGCCCTATTTTTAAACACTTAAACCTCTCCCTTTAATTTCAGAAGACTTGAGTTACCACTGTTAAATTTAAATAATGTTTCTTACTAAACAAATGAAGGCAGATTTGAATTCCTTGGCCAAGGCTAAAGATAAAAGAAGGGAGGGGAACAAAAAGTGATTTCAGCCTGAGAGTGAGGTGATGGGGGGCGGGTAGAAGGACTTACCGCAGCTTCTGCAGGCTGCCCCCAAAGACTCAGGGCCAGTATGAACAAGCCGGCTGCCAGGCTGACTCCACGCAGTTTCATTCTTCTCCGGCTCCTGCAGTTCTTTCAGCACCCACACGAAATCCGTGGCTGGCTCTGACCAATTGACATAATCTTGAGGGTTTACTGGGCGAGTGCTAGAGCCAGAGAGGGAGAGCGAGGGTGCCCCAATTGTGCAGATCGACTTGGGTGAGGAGAAAAAAGCTTTTTTAGTGTGGAGGAAAAATAGAAGAAGAATAAGAACAAGAAGAAACTATTTTTCCCTTCTCCCGTCCCCAAAGCAGGTTTCTGGTCTCTCCTGAGCACTTTTCTCTTCCATCCAGACTTGCAAACTTTTTCCTCGCGCAAATCCCACAGATCTACTTTCCTCCCTCTCTGCCCCCGCACCGCCCCCTCCCCATCTGCTCAGGGGAATTTGAGAATCACTCCGCCACAGTTTTAGACTACACCAGCAACCTGCGAGGGAGTGACGCTAAGTTATTTGGGGGAGGGAAACTCCAAAACCAGATGACTGAACACTGTGAGTGCAACCGGGCAGCTTTTCTATTCGTTCACTTGCACTTTCCGTTGGTACTACTTTTCTCTGCCCAGTCCCACTATCACTGGTGTAAGCACACAAGCCAATTACATGCTGGGACTATTTTTTAGCGGATGGATCTCAGAAAGAAGGGACCTTTTAATTGTTAATGATTAGAAAAAGTTTTGGTGGCTGCTCATTGAACTGCTGGTGTTTTTTCTCTTCCACCTGCTCGCAGGAAAGAGTTTCTCCACAATAGAATATATGAAAATATTAGAAATATATAAATATATTTGTATAAGTAAATGTGTGCTTATAATCAAAGAATTAAAATGAACATGTATATTTGTGTAAAGACTTTATTGCGAGTGATATATGCATGAAATTTGGGAGCATTCAGTAGATATTAGTAATTATTATACGGTTGAATGCTATTGCAATATGGTAGTCATCTTTTTATTTAGCTATATTGAATGCTATAGTTAATATTTACCTCTTATATTGAACTAACATGAAATTTATGCAGTGTCATTGCAGTTGTGATTCAGAGGGATTTGGGACAGAGAATTAAATAGTTATCATGCAATTCTCCTTAAAAGTGACACAAACACCTAACTAGAAATATTTATACTAAGATGATGGCGATTGTATAGACGTCTCCCAAAAAGACCTGAACATTACTTTTTTAAAAAATCCTCACTCGAGAATATTTTTTTTCTATTTATCATCAGTTAGAGTGAGAGAGAGCCAGAGACAGAGAGAGACAGAGAGAGAGAGAAACATAGATGTGCGAGAGACACATCCACTGGCTGCCTCCCCCAGGACCCCGGTCAGGGCAGGGGACTGAACTGCCACCTAGGTACGTGCTTTTGAACCCATGACACCTTGGTTCGTGGGCCGATACTCTAACAGCTGAGCCAAATTGGCCAGGGTTGATATATAATTTTGATATATGGATTTTTTTTTAAAGTAGCAACAGGTCCAGAAAATAGTTGATGTGGACTCCTTCAAGGAACTTACAGGGATTTACTGAAGAATTCTTCAGAACATTTCTGTTATCTCAGGCCCTGGAATTTACCGTTTTAAAGTCTTTCAAGGCTTTAGAGCTATTTGACTCAGGTTCTACTCAGTTTAGGGTGGATTTAAAACTCCAGGAACCCTCAGCAGTAGCACCACCACACCACCACTACCTCCCAAGAGCTTAGTATACAATCTATTGGAATGAGTGTTGTATGCATTTGGACAAGCCTGAAAGGGCACCTTGGGGCCTATTTGTGTACATAAGAGTACTGTGCCTTAATATATACATATGTTATGTTGTAACAGTTAACAGTGCTTCATGGAAGTGTGTAATGCATAATTGCTTACATCTTAGAGTCTAGGTCTCTATAAGCCGTGCATAAAGCTGTGGAGATGCATGGGAATGTTGTGTGTAAAGGAGCCTGAAAGTGAGAATGACTCTGAGCTGCCCAAGGTAGGGTGGATGATTGACAGCAGACAGCCCCGCCCCCTTCCCCTTCATTCCTTCCTCTCCTGGTGCAGGGAACTATCTTTTGAGTGAGGCAAGTTGTAGCGGGCACCGCTGAGCCTGTTTCCCTTTGTGGCACTTTTTTATCCAGGAGCTGAATTTAGTTTCTTCTGAAGTGAACCACTTCACCCCCTCCTCCTGAATAAGGAAGCAGTCTTCAAGCATCAGCGGAGCCCCGATGAGCCCAGGCCGTGGAGCCGCTTAGCAGTCTCCTGGGACACTGCTCTGGAGGAGCCGAAAGCATGCACCCTGGGTGAGCTGTTGCTGCCCCGACTTCCCCTCCTCTTTCCTACTTTGGACTATTTTGCCGAACCGAGACTATACATAGCTGTACTTCTGTCATTGCAGAGAAAGTGGGATCAGGCAGCCAAAAAGGGGTGGGGGTCTATAGACAGAAGCAAGATCCCAGAGCCTAGAGAGCCCATATCACTCACCCTCCTTCCCTTTTCAGGTTGTGGCTTCTCCTGGTTACGTTCTGTCTGAGAGAGAAACTTGCAGGAGCGGTGAGTCTCTTCTCCTGACCCCTTTCACTCCCCTTCCTTTGACCCCTCCTTGTCCCACATCTTGTGTTTGTGTTAGGGGGGATTACAGAGGGTTGCCCCGCAAAAAGGAGGTCACTTCACTCTCATTTCTATTGGGGGTTAATGGGGTTCTTAGAAGAATAGCACAGGGTTGGGCTACCGCTTTTGGAAGTCAGGCATATTTATGTCCCAAAACTTTGTAACGGGTTGGGAAAATAAAAGTAGAAGGCACAAGAGAAACATTTCTGAGCCTTTACCAGACAGTTTGCGATGGCTGACATATGATGCCTTTCTCTGCATCAATCTCCAAGGCAGAATAAATGTAAGTTTCCCGGGTCTACAAAACATGAATTTGTCACACAAGTTTGAGAGTGGAAGGAGAGCAAAAGGAGTGGGACTTGAAAGTGCCACAAATGTTGTGGGAGTTGAGTTTAAGTATTTGCTTGTGAGTCCTTTGACAGTACAAGGTGAGAACATCTGGATTATTTACCTGAACTTAAATGATACCTCTAGATAATGTTTAATTTCTGCCTAATGTTTCTTTTTATTGGTTTTCTGTGTAATCAGAAAATTAAAGTGGTTAGAATAGGGGAAAAAGTTAATATATAATAGGCTGTTTAGATATCTTACATAAAATCAGCTAGTGATTACAGGCAAAGGAATTTTAGTATACATTTGGTCAAGAAAAGTTTAATGGATCCCAGAAAGTACAGACCTCTAATGGAATTATTAAGACAATTTACCAAAGGTAGAGTGGTCCTAATAATCAGATATGCTGCAGTTTTCCAGTTTCGCAAGCTACTTATGCTAACAGAAATAAAGTTAACTGTTGAGTTCAAATATGAAGTTGTTCAACTATTGACTACTATCTCACTACTCTATCAAAAAAAACAAAAAAACAAAAAAAAACAAAAAAAAAAACTCTTAATAATAGCCAGGCATGCACTATATAGATAACAAATGAATATATATTCCAAATATTTGCCTTGTGGGTTTTGAGAAGTTTAACTGATTGGCTCTAATTTAAATATTTTGAAATCCTATTTATAGTCCTGGCATATGTCTTTAAGAAAATATCAGAATGATGTGAAATGATTTCTCTTATGAAAAGAGGATAATGCCAGAAATCTTGAATTTTAACATTTTGTGACCTCTTAACTAAGAACGTCAGCTCTTATTAAGTAAATTCTAGACTGTGTAAGTAGAAGTATTGATCTAGGGTTCTGAACACTTCTCTATATGATTCCTCCAGTATACAAGTTTAGTTATATGTTACCTTGAGGCTCAATACTACACTTATTGAAAATGCCAGGTATTGATTATTTATTGATTTGTCCAGGAATCTTGCCACTTGTAAAACTGCCATGCTTGGGCAGAATACCCTCCAGTGAAACCTTTATTTTCAGACTCTGACAGATCATAGTCCGTATACTTATGGGAAAAATATCAACTAATCATTCTTTATAGCTGGAGACTTCCCAAACACTGAATCCTATCACTTGATATCCTTAAAAGTCAGCAGAGGAAGATGCTTTCAATTCTTAGAAGCATTAAAGTGTGTCTCCAAAATCAAGCACTGCTTTGGTGAGCGTTTTTATTCGTTGTTGTACAATGTCACCTGCTATGTATGTCAGTGTGATCATCTCTGTTAAGACCAAAATAAACCTTGAGATTCATTGACAATACTTTTTTGCCTTAAGTCCAGAGCTGCTTCCTTCACTTGTTGTTTACTTCTGCATAATATATTTGATGTTGTAAAGTTATTTTTTTTAATTTTCTTTAAATAGACGAAAAAAAAGTGGTATCACAGGATAACTTCTCAGAAGATGACTTTTCTGAGGGGAGGTTTTTATACTTTCTACTGGATTCTCATCTATATTGGCTGGTTCTCTTCATCTATTCTTAAATCCAGTTTATCTTCTGGATTTGTAATGTTTATCACCTTTCAGAAAGTTTTAGACATTTGACTTCTCTGTACCTCCTTTGACTAATATTAAAAAATAACTATTATAAATAAATTGACAGGGAATATGTTGTGCTTCAATGTGAAAAAATGTCTTCACCGTGAGAGTTAAGTTGCCAGTAATGGAATATTGGAAAGCATTTAACATAGGGTCATTTAGGTGCTTTTGAGTTTTTTCTTTGTCAGTTTATAAAGCACTGTTCTTTATTAAAGGGATGGAAAGCTAGATGATAAGACCCAGAATTAATGAATGAATTTCCATTAAATTTATTATAAAGGAGTGATGATCTTTATTCGGGTGAAATAATTACACAATTTATCTGAATGTGATACAGCTTAGGATTTCAAAATATCCATAAATATGTTTGGTTATTAAGTGCCTAAGACACAGCACACAAAAGTTTATCTAAACATAGTCTCTCTAACTCTCTAGAAATGTATTTTCTAAGACAATGGTAGACATGGAGTTCTCTAAAAAATAGGATACTTAATGATAAATGATTATCTGCATTGGCATGCATCGTACTAAAGAAAAGACTAGAAAGATCCATATCTCACCATAGGCCAACATGTCTAGAAGCTAAAATGTGTCCAAAAGTAGCCAGGATTTTTGTTTTCTTCCCAATTTGCACCAAATTTCTGGTCATTGCCTACTCTTCTTCCACAACTATTTAACCTTCAGCCTCTTGCAATTTAGGCTGGTTCTACTGCACCAAAACTGTCTTTTTTAAAAATTATTTTTATTAGTTTATTTTTGTTACACATGTTTTTTCTTTTTCCCCCATTGACACCCTCCTCCTGATCCCCATCCCCCACCCCATCCCCAGCATTGTTGTCTATGTCCATTGGTTATGCATACATGCATATAAGTTCTGTGGTTTATCTTCCCCCATCCCATGGTCTCTTCTGAGGTTTGTCAGTCTGAACCCTACTTCTGTGTTTCTGGGTCTGTTTTGTTCATCAGTTTGTTTTATTCATTATATTCCACAAATAAGTGAGATCAAGTGATATTTGTCTTTCTATTCTTGGCTTGTTTTGCTTAGGATAATACTCTCCAGGTCCCTCCATGTCAACTCAAAGGATAAGAGATCTTTCCTTCTTACAGCTGCATAGTACTCCATTGTGGATATGTACCACAGCTTTCTTATCCACTCATCTATTGATGGACACTTGGCCTGTTTCCAGATCTTAGCTATTGTAAATAGTGCTGCAATGAACATAGGGTTACATATACAAAACTACTGTCTTTTAAGTTGCTAATGACAAGCCTAACGGTTTCTTTGTAGTCCTCATTCTATCTGACTTCTCTTCTGTATCATTTAGCATTTTACAGACATTCAGTAATTACCTTTCCCCACTTTGACTTCCAAGACACTATGTCTTTTGTTTCTCCTTATACTTCTCTGATATATTTTACTCATTCAACATTTATCGATTGAGCAACCACTGTATCCTAAATAGTGTGTCAGGCTTTGGTGACACAGCAGTGAACAAGTCAGGTGTGATCTTTGCCAATGTGAAGCTTACAAATTTCATCACTCTCTGGTCCCAAAATGATGGGTTTCCTCAGCATTGTATCCTTTGCCTTCTTCTTTTCTCAGTAGTATTAACCATGCCTCATGTATATTGATGACTGTCAAATTTATATTTTGAAGCTAGACATCTCTTTTGAGCTCCATATCTGTATTTCCAATTACCTACTAAGCCCCTGTTCTTGTATATGGATAAGTTGATATATACAAAGAACTTAAAACTAGAATTTAGTATAAGCACTCAACCAATGCCAGCTATTTTCATTTTGTATTGCCCAAACACAGTGTATCCAAAAATAAAATTATTTTCTGGTCCTTTCAGGACACTCCAAACTGATTCTATCTTTTGACCTTTGATAAATGTCATCACCATTCACCCAGTTTCAAACAAGAAACTATAGAATCAGCCACCAACTCTCATTATCTCCATCCTTCTCACTTAGTTCTGTCAGTTTCACCAAAAACTGGTAGAATCTAGCTTTTCCATTCATATTATGGTGGTTTCAAAACTCATCAGCATATATCAATAGCTTCTTAACCAGTTTTTCTAGCAACTGATTCCATTCTAATCGCTACACTGCCACCAAAGTTATATCACTAACAACAAATCTAATTATATTATTTCTTGATTTAAAACTTTTTTTTATCCTCACCCAAGGACATTTTTGCATTTATCTTCAGATAGAGCAGGAGGGAGCGAGAGAGAAACATCGATGTAAGAGAGACCCATTGACTGGTTGCCACCCACACAACCCCAACAGGGGCCGGCCAGGGACAAACTGCAACCGAGGTACATGCCCTTAGCAAGAACCAAACTTGGGACTCTGGTCCGTGGGCCAATGCTCTTACTGCTGAACCAAACTGGCCAGGGCTAAAACTTTTTTTTGTTTTATTTATTCCAGGATTAAAATACACACTCCTTGACTTGGCACATATAAGACTTTTTCATTATTTGGACCCAGCTACTTTTCCAGCCTTGTGTCTCTTTTTTTTGTTTGTTTTTTTTTTTTTGATTTTTTGTGTTTTTTTTTTTCCTGTCACCGATCCTTCTCAAACTGATAGTACACATTATACTTTATTCAGATGGATATTATCTTCATTCCCAACCCACTTTATGTTCTGTTACATCTCTTTGCTTTTGCTGCCCTGTATCTGTAATGTCCTTCTCCATCTTTTATACCTTCTCTACCTAGTGAACTCCTACTCAGTATTTACCCAGATAAAATGTAATTTCCTTTATGAAACAGACCTCTCCAGAAATAATCATTCTTCCATCCCTTGTGCTGCATAGCACCTACTATGTACCGTAATTATGAAATTCCTCTGCTTATATGTCTATGTCCCCTTTTCAACCTTGTATTAACAATATCCCGGATAATGCCAAGCATATATTAAGTGATCAATAATAAATTTCAAAGGATTAAACAGATCTACTCTTAATGGTCTACAACAATTGCCTTTTCCCTGTCTATCTTAGGAATTACTAA